GTATCTTTTAAGACATATGTGCTCACTATTTTAATTTGATTTTATATGCTTTCTATGCTTATAATTATATTGTAATAAATGTAATTTGTAAATCAAATGAAAGCTAGCTGCACTAAATCACTACTGACCTAGAGGCAGGCATGTAGCTGGGGGGGGGGCTTGGGGGCTTGGGGGCTTCAGCCCCCCCCCCCAATTCTCATGGTGGTTCGCGAGAAGGCCTTACTGGTGCATTATTTAAACTGTTATGTTTATTCATATCATGATCTGATCACCATACTCAATATATCCCATATGCATGGGGGTATTGGGGTAATGATACAAAAGGTTTGCTAGGCTAGACCCTCTTTCACTCAGACTCAGCCCCTCCCTCCCCCCAAATCGAAATCCTGGCTACGTGCCTGCCTAGAGGTCTTGAGTTCGAAGCCATCCCAGATTGGAGTAAGCTTCTGGCCATTCGTCTAGCTTGCTATAGACTTATGCAGCCTGAAGGACAGCTGCATCTGTCAAGTAGGAAATTTAGGTACAACTTATGCGGGGAGGCTAATTTACAACACCATAAAACATTCCAGCAGCATGCAGAAGAAAGTACTCCATCAAAGGACTTGCTGTCACAGTGGACGGTGAAGCGGCAGCTCCCCCTGTGGCCAGAATTGAGCCGGAATCCAGCATACCCCCGTGAAGCCGGAAAAGCTTGGGCACAGCTCGAATGTTAAATTGCCTCTGTGTCTGTCTATATATGTTGTATGTCTAACTGGCATTGAATGTTTGCCATGTATATGTGCATTGTAATCCACCTTGAGTCCCCTGCAGGGTGAGAAAGGTGGAATATAAATACTATAATAAATAAATAAATACATAAATAAATAAATTACTGTCTTGTTTAGTTTCAGTTTGTTCTCTTACATCTAATTTGTCATGCAGCCAGATATCCATAGCCTCCTTACCATGAGATAAAAAGAAAAACAAATTAGTATCACAAGCATAATTTGTTGTGGTGGTGGTGTGCCTTCACATTGTTCCAACTATCAGGCAAGATTTGTTCAGAAGAGGCTTGCCATTGCCTTCTTCTGAGACTAAAAGAGTGTGACATGGCCAAGGTCATCCAAAGGGTATCATGGACGCCTGGAAATTCAACCCCCAATATCTACCCCACCATAGTCCAAAGTTCAAACCACTGCACTGCTCATCTGCAAAATGGCAGATGAGCTCCCCCTAGTGACTTCATGTATATATCACCAACCAACACAAAATTTGGTGCCTCAAATGTTAGACCTGTTTCTTGGTATATTTGACTTGCTGATTCCAAACATAGTGCCAGTTTCCCCTATCTGCTTTAGTGTTTTGAGATACAGAACATACATCATTTACCAGTTGCAATCTTCTCACCCACAGAAAAGCACGTTAACCATAACTAAGAAATTAGAGCTGGTGCTGTCTATGTAATGCCATTTTCTGAAGCAATGCCACAAATAACCCCAGGAATAGGCCTAAACATCAAGACAACAAAATTATTTTTGGTTGAGATGTGCCTTGAAACACGAATACTCCCTGGGAAATTCCATAAATGGAGAGCTGTAAACTTGATGCTTCAGCACCATCTTGTGGGAGCATTTAAGTAATTAGGATAAGAACAACCTCAAAAGAGTCTATATATCCACCAGACCCTTTAGAAATCTGTAATAAGTTATGGTAATAAATAATATTGGGAGGTCTAGCAGAACAGGATGAAATTCTCCCCTGCTCCTTCAAGTTCTGATATAGATCATCCATAAGGAATTAAGGATTCGAAAATATATTTCTGTTCTCCAAACAGCTGAATTATGATCGAAGCAGTTAACTGCATCCAAAATTATGCTGCAACTACTTAGTACTTCTTTTTGTATATTCTCCCTAAAGATTCAGTCCTAAATTGTGAGTAGCCTTTGAAAATTTTCCTTTTTTTTTTTGCTGTGATTTGAAAAATAGTAACTATATATTTTTTTCTAAGAAGAGCACTTATGATGATTTACTGACTAAGGCTCATCAAAATCTATTTAATCATATTGAAGCTAGAAAGGAACAAGGGAGGGGGCACAGTATGGGATTGGACAGGTGTCAACCTTTTTATTTCCCTCTCAGTTTTCCCCTGGATGAAACGTATGAGCCTTAGGGCAGTCCTATAGTCGAGTTGTTCCTTATCTGATCTACTTCTTAAAAGCAGAATCAAGGAATTCACTTTTCATGTTTCAGAACTTAAAGTGAAGGCAAACTCCCTGTCCATTCCCAAAGGTAGTCTCTTTCCCCACTCTCCAGGTCCCAAGACCTAAAGAGTCATCTTCAGATCCTTCCCTTTACTAAAAGGCTATTAAAGTATAACCAGGGGCGGCTCAACCAATTATGCAAAGTAAGCATTTGCAGTATAGTTGATTTTGCCCAGGGGCGCTCTTGAGGTGCTCTTGGGGGAAAATAGACCTTGACATATGCAAGTTGTAGTTACTGGGATGTATAGTTCACCTACAATAAAGAGCATTCTGAACTCCACCAATAATGGAATTGAACCAAATATGGCACACAGTACTCCCATGACAAACAGAAAATATATATCAGTGATTGGTTGGGGGGGGGGGCGCTAAAATACTGTTTGCTTACCATTGAAAATTACCTAGGGCTGCCTCTGAGTATAACTATTAGTCTTGTGCATTTGCATAGAATCGCTATCTGTTTCGGTTTGTTTTTGTTTTTGTTTTTGAGCACCTTTCCCCAAAACAGGTGCCTTTCCAAATGAGCTTTTTCATTCTGGGTCCGAAAGAACAAACATTTTCAGACCATTGGCCAACATGGGCAGCCTTCCCAGGTTCCTCTTCCCCTCGGTTTTAGGGCTAGAGGGGTGAAAATTGCCACACATGGATGGCACGTTGACCACTCTTATATTTGGGTCATCATCCCCCAATTTTGAGGGATTTTATATTCTTTCTATAAATAAAATCTCATTAGAAACATTCCCTCTTTCCTCCGCTGTCCCTGCCCTCTAAGTTCAGGGTTTAAGATACCACTGAATATGAGATGTTTTCCTCTCCATCTGCAGAGGAGAGCCAAGGCTAAAGACAGGGCTTGAGATGCCACATTTGTTTTGCCTTTCTGTCTATATTTAACCGATTCTTCACTTGAGGGATGGCACCAAAACTGAAGAGAACAGCTCTGGGTTGGGCAAAACATTATCGTAATGTTATCCTATGGAGAGTTCAAAAGAAAAATACCATTGTCTTAGTGATGCAGTGCAGAAAAAAGGGTGTCATGTGTAGAAAAAATAAGAGTCTCTGTGTAAAGGAAAAATGTCAATGTCTCTTTTATTACCCTCTGGTAATCATTCCTAATCACTCTGGGATGGTCTGATGAAAACAATGTAGTTGCAACATATGAAACAAAAGTGATCAGTATAAGATGTACCATTCTGAACCAGTTTGGCAAGATCTCCCATTGCAAAGTATACAAGATAGTTAAGCCCCAATTGCTCTCTTGAATAGAACTGTTGTTGTTGTTGTTGTTGTTGTTGTTAACTTTTGTTGTTGTTAACTCACTTTTTCTGAGACTATTTCCTTATCAGCAGGATAGAGGGGGTTTCAAAGGAAATTTTGAGTTTGTACTTTTAAAATGAGGCTGCCTTAATCTAAGATGGCTAGGGATTCTGTCAAGTATGCCAGATACAGAGTCTCAGCTCTCAAAAAGACTGGACATAACCATGTAATACAGTGCGGAATATGTTATCCCCTTTGACATCCATCCAAAGTACCCACATTTTCCCCTGATTGGTTAAAAATCAGTCCGGCAGGATTGGACTGTAACAGAACATGCCTCCTTGCCTTGGAAAGTGCCTGCCTGAAACCAAGCGCCTGTCCTCTAGAGTAAAAAAACAGGTAAGAAACCTCCTTAAAGTGTGTGCCTGCCTGTAGCCGAGTGCCTTCTCTAGAGAGTAAGAAACAGAATTTGTCTGCTTGACTTGGAAAGACTGCATGTGTGGTGTGCAGGTCCAGAAAGCATGTCCACGTGCCTGCAGCTGAGCACCTCTCCTTAGAATAAGGAAAGGAACTTGTCTCCTTGTACTGGAAAGCGCACATGCCTGCCTGCAGCTGAGCACCTCTCCTCTAGAATAGAGAAACAGTTAAGAAGCCTCCTTAAAGTGCCTGCCTGCCTGCACCCAAGTGCCTCCTCTAGAGAGTAAGAAACAGAACTTGTCTTCTTGCCTTGGAAAGAGTGTGTGTGTGTGGCGTGCAAGCCCAGAAAGTGCAAGTGCCTGCTTGCAGCTGAGCACCTCTCCTCTAAAGTAGAGAAACCGGTAAGAGAAGCCTCCTTAAAGTGTGCTCCTGCCTCTAGAGCTGAGTGTCTCTTGTCTAGAGTAGAAACAACTTAAATGCCTAAAATGATGGGAAGGGGAGCCTGGGAGCCCCCCCCCTCCATGGGCCGATAGAAAAAAGATATTTTGGCACCCCAGGGCGAAAACAGATTTCTGTCCTCCCAATTTCAAGAGGCTCCCAATAACGGATTGGGCCCCCCACCGAAAGCTGGGACATGAAACAGGTCAAGGTTTACCCAGATTGCACAAGCTTAATTAGGAGTGGATATAGTCTCCTCCTTGGTGGGAAAAATAAACAGTGGTGATTGGTAGACCTGGAGTAAGAGTCATTTGGAAAGGCCTGTCCAGAAAGGGCATGGGCGGTCAAAAATATGTCTATATTCAACCTATTCCTAACAGTTAAACAGTTCAGATTTTGTGATGGGTGGGTGCTATTGTCCAGCAATTTCTGGAGCAGCCACTGGTTGAGGAAAGCTTATCTCTTGTAAACTAGATAGTACTTCCTTTCCTCTAAATCCTGCTTTTCAGAAATGCACAAGCATGGTTTGAACAGGCACCTTGAATTTTAAACTCCCAGCTGTGGTATAAGCATTATTATCTGATTCCAATAACAAGAAGGCAACGTTCACAAAAGACAATGATTTACCTTCTTTATGGTATTGTTTGACTATTTATGATACATTTCTTGAGAACATAAAAGTAAAATTCACAACTATTTATTTAAAATATACACATTCACACAAATTATATAGCAAGATATTCTGTTTTGTATTCTATTTAATATAATGCTTAAGGAAAAGAGACATTTTAAAAAGTTACATAAAAAACAATAAATATACAACAATAAATATACATGAGGAAGAACTTCCTGACTGTGAGAGCCGTTCAGCAGTGGAACTCTCTGCCCCGGAGTGTGGTGGAGGCTCCTTCTTTGGAAGCTTTTAAACAGAGGCTGGATGGCCATCTGTCAGGGGTGATTTGAATGCAATATTCCTGCTTCTTGGCAGGGGGTTGGACTGGATGGCCCATGAGGTCTCTTCCAACTCTTTGATTCTATGATTCTATGAGTTATTTAGAGAAAGGAATGTGTCATAGAAAAACCCATTTATGAGATATATGGGATAAAGCTAGTTATTCTTGTGATGCTTATCAAATCGCTCAGATAATGCTCTTAATATATTTCCTGGTCTTTTTTGGTATTTATTTCGAAGATCTTCAATTGCAATCTTGGCCTGAAAAAAAAAGGTAAGTGTATAAATTACTGTTCATTGTGACATTTAGACTTTTTTGTTTTGTTTTAGGGGTAGGGATTCAGGAGGAAATGTGATTCTGGGGGAAACCTGCTGGTTATGTGTTTGTTTTAAATTCAACCAGTTTCTTCTCTCTCCCAATAATGGCCAGGGCAGTGGCCATTATTCCGTTTGCTTCTGACTTGGTAAGCTGGAACTCTGTCTTTTCTCTCTCCTTTCCTTATCTCCCCCTTTTAGGGAGCATAGGAATTTTTATTCCAAATACTGTAAATAAAGTTATATAAGAGGACACCAGTTTCAGTGTCATAAGTCCCATGGAAGGTAAATGTGGGAATGTGGACCTCAAACACTAGTAGATGTCTCACCTGAATATTCAACACTGCTATGTAATTTTCACAAAAGTATGTATATCTTCTTTCCTCTTCACAATTCAATTTTTGTCAAACAGTATCATGTTATCTATCATTTGGCTTAATGCTCTTTGAATAAGTTTTACTTATTTGACTTACTCATGTGCTTTTCTTATAATGTGATCCTGCTATTCATTCCATGCAGAAATAGCATAACTCTGATATTCTCATGTGGAGTATGGTTTTGTAGGGAGTCATTTAGCGTAGGGTGTGAGTATATTGATGTATTTTTGGCTATGAAAATAATAGTTGATCATTCTATATCCAAAAATTTGAAATCCAAAGTGCTCCAAAATCTAAACTAGTCCAAATGATTGGTTAAAATAATGACACTTTCGCTTTCTGATGTTTCACTGCACATAAACTAACAACAACAACAACAACAGCAGCGACTTAATTTTTGTACCCCACCTCCATCTCCCCAAAGGGACTTGAGGCAGCTTACATAGAAACAAACCCGAACAGCATGATTAAAATATAGCACATTAAAATATATAAATAGCAATATAACACAGAATAAAACAACAGCATTATAACAAAAATATAAAAGCAAATATCAAACCAACAACCAATGAGCTCTGCAATAACCATCAGTTCCTGGACATGGGTGGGGAGACTGGTGCAAAAATAATTGTGAAGACAGGGCTGATGGATAAAGTGCTCATATGGCGGCAGTAGAGTTACAGGGCAGTATGTGAATAGAGCATTTTAAATTTAAGTGCAGAACAATAGTAAAGTTCAAGGACAAGAATTTGGGTCCTAGTTGGGACTAAGCTATCTGGAGGATTGTATAGTCAAAAACACAGCGGAACAACCATGTATTTAAATCTTTGCAGAAGATGGACAGGGTGAGTGCTCAAAATTGTTTGTAAAATTACCTTCAAGCTATGCATATGAGGAGAATATGAAACATAAATGAATTCCATGTTATGACCTGGGGCCCTTATGTATATGGAAATATTCCAAATTATGAAAAAACAAACAAAACCAAAACACTTTTGGTCCCAAGGATTTTATAACTAACCTGTATAACTAAAAATAAATCCTGCACAAGCAAAATTGATAGCTTTTACATATATCATTGCAAAATAAATGAGAGAGCCAGGAAGAGCAACAATTATGATGAAATATAATAAATAACATAACATCCAGTATATAATTTAAAAATGGAAACCAAGAGTTTTGAGTGCAGAATTAGCTTACTTTTTCAGCCAGTTCCTTTGCAGTTAGATTTGGGTCATATGGTATGGGTTCTCCAATATAGGTACGCAATTTGACAGGAAAGCCTCCATATAATGGAAGAACTAGCAGCTTAGTTCGTTCATATAGCCACTTCAGCAGCCCTACAGTTGTTACAAAGACAAAATGATTTCCTACTGGCATGGAAATCTTTGTGTACATATAGACAGTTTTGTCAGTGTTCTACTTAATGTTTGCTATTCATTGCTCTTTTTCTAGGTGATGCTTCCTCTCCTTATAGCCATCTGTTCCCAAATTTATCCAGAGGTTTGGAAATTCTCTGAATTAACTTATTGAACAGATAGGAAACAACATGGGCTGGAAGAAGACAATCTTATCACACCAGCACAATCACACAACTGTGCAATACACAAGACTGATGTTACATTAATACAAGATGGCCTGAGAAACATGCAACAATATAGACAGTTTTAATATACTATTTATATATAAACGGTCTTGTTTATATAAAAAACAATACTGTTTTAATTGCTTTTATGGGTTGTATATCACTTTAGAAGTCCTTGTAGGCTGGGTACTTTGAATCAGCTAATAAACCAGGAAAATGGTTAGCATACACATTAAGGAAGGAAAAGGAAAAAATCTAATTGTTAAGATACAATACAAGAATAAAATATTAATGGATGATATCAATATTCAACAGGTTTTTAAAAACACAATTTATATAACACTGTCCATATATCTCTGAAAGAAAGATAATTACTTGACTCAGTAAAAGTTGCCAAAAATACTGAAACACAAAAACAATTGATCAATGGGCCTGTAACACTGAAAGAAATATCTGAGCCTATAAAAAACAAAACACCCCCCCCCCCACACACACACACACAAAACTGGGAAAGCACCAGGCACAGATGGGTTACCAGCATCATATTATAAACATTTTGAAGATGAATTTAGGCTACCACTTCAACAAATGATGAATTCCATACTTAATACAAAATACAAACCTGAAACATAGCAAGAAGTTAAGATTGATCTAATACCTAAGGAAGACCAAGATTGAACTTCACCAAAAAATTATCGACCAATATCTTTATTGAACAATGACTATAAATTGTTTACAAGCACCCTGGCTGAAAGACTGAAATGTATACCTCAACAGTTTATTTATCAGGATCATTCTGGTTTTTTGCCTAAAAGAAAACTATGAAACAACGTAAGGAATATATTGGATATTTTGGGGTATTTGGAAAAAATAATGAAAAACAACTGGCTTTGAAATTTTTATATGCAGAAAAAACTTTTGATAAGCTGAATTGGCCATTTATGTTAAGGTATTGGCGCATATGCATTTTGGAGATAATTTCATAAAATTGATAAAATCAAGTTATACTAGGCAGACAACACAGGTCGTTGTAAATGGAAATTTATCCAAGCCATGTGAAATTCAGAAAGGAACTAGAAAAGGATGCCCACTCTTATCACTTCTATTTATACTACTAGTTCTTGAAGTATTTTTAAGGCATATATGAGGTGAGGGAAGGATTTCTGGAAGAAAGATTGAAAAGAAATATTATAAATTACAATCATTTGTAGATGATTTGGTGATTACTTTAGAAAACCAATTGAATGGAATACAAGTCTTGGTGAGAAAGTTGAATATTTTGGAACTTTATCAGGATTTAAAATCATTAGCCAGAAAACAAAAATTTTGACTAAAATATGGACATAAAAGATCAAGAAAATTGTTTTTTATATAAAAGGTTTTAAAATAGATAAAAAGGTAAAGAATTCAGGTATTACTTTGACAAATAAAAATTGTCTGCTGTTCCAAAATAATTATGAAACCTTATGGATAAATATTTTAAAAGACTAGTATGATGGGCTAAGTTACATTTGTCATTATTGGGTATACTCTCTGTGATAAAATGAATTATTTCTTTTTCAAACAATACCCATGATTGTGACAGATAAACAATTTAAACAAGGACAAAAGGGTATATCTAAATTTATATGGCACAGAAAGTAGCCAAGAATTAAATATAAGGTGCTACAAGATGCAAAATGTGAATAGAACAATAGGTACTGCTCTGGTAAAAAGGTAAGAGTGCTTCATGCAGCCATGCCAGCCATGTGACCTAGGAGGCATTTACAGAAATGGAAGATGAGTACCCCCGCCCCCGAGTCGAACACAACTAGACTTAATGTCAAGAGGAAACCTTTACAATACATAAATGAACTCGGTGGCCTAGGTGCACCTGATCTGAAACTCTACTTTTTGCTTGCTGTTCAGTTTGAATAAAAGACTCGGTTTTGTTGAGTAATATTAGGAGGTTGCCACTGGAGGGACATAATCTGAGATATGGTTGGCACAGTGGTATGACAAAGTGAAAGTGAATGTGGACTTTAAAAATCCTTGTTAGATGTGCTCTATAACAAATATTGGAGAGATATAAATTAATGAAGGTATCTGTGCAGGAAGCATTTTATAGAAAAGAGACATAAAAGAGAAGAAGAAGTTGTTAACTCATCAAGATCTCCTAGAAAATGTACAAGAAGAATATAGAATCAAAACAAGAGAACAATTGATTGCAAAGGGTTACGGTTTTCAGTGGTTTTCTTACTTGCAGTTAATGGAGAGATTCAGGCAGGGCAATAAATTAGTTGGTTTTGAACTGAGTAAATCGGAATTTGAGTTGCAATTATGGGCTAATGTTGAACATTTAAAATGTATAAAATTTTATTGAAATGGAAAATGGCAGACAAGCAAGTTAAAGAATGTATGACAAAGTGGGCACAAAATGTTGGACATAACATAGTGTTGGGCCAATGAGAGAAAATGTGGAACAAGTGGTTAAAATATAAGTTATGTTATAATTTGAAAGAGAAATTTTATAAAGTGATGTATCAATAATATATGATTCCCAAAAAAGTTCCTAAGATATCTAATGTGGTTTCCAACAGTTGCTGGAAATGTAGCAATTGGGGTCATTCTACCATATGTGGTTAACATGTAAACATGCCAATAAATATTGGATTCAAATACATATGGTGATCCAGAAAGTTTTGAGGGAAAATATCCAGTTAAAACCTGAGACTTTTCTACTTGGTCTGAATGATACAAATTACTATGATAAACTGTTGCAATGTATGATCAGAGCAGCCAGATTGCTCTACTCGCAGAAATGGAAGAACTCCGTAACATAACAGAAGATTGGATGATTAAAATGATGGACTTGGCCAAGATGGACGAACTAATATGTTTACTAAAATAAGAGATATATTGGATTTTTTTTTTGAAAGACTGGAAAACTTTTTTTTCACTTTTTGCAAGAGGAAGAGAAGGGGATGTCAATTTTGTGAGGATAGATTGGAGGTCATCTATTTTTTTTCTTTTCTTTTCTTTTTTCTTTCTCTTTCTTTTTTCTGTTCTGTATTTTTATTCACTGTTTTTGACTTTTAATATAAATTCCAATTTTTAAAACTAAAGTTAATTTAAAAAAGGAATCATTGTAGGCTGGGTGGTGAGCTATAATTATAAATTATCATCATTGGAATCCTATATGTTTTTTTTATGTAACATAACTTTGCATATTCTTAGCTAAGTAGCAGAGGCACAATGAAAAGAGTTCTGAATTGCAAAGATGCATATCAGGACACTGGCAATGACCAATGCGCTAAAAAGCAGAGCTGACAAAGTGTCTGATGCACATCAGAATCTGATGCACATAGGTTCCATCATACATTGGTCTTGTTCAGACACTTTGCTAAGTTTGTTCATAGTAATATAACAGTGGCCCTCTACCAAATATGAATGTCGCACAACTGCACAATTTAATTTCCTCCAGATTTAAGTCCACTTAGAAAGATGCTACACCTCAACATGATCCCAATCAACAATAATGTACCATATATTCACAGTTGCTTTACAGAATATGTATGCCATAGATACTTGAGGCCAATAAAATAGATTGAGGAAATAAGCTCACGTGTTTTTCCTACTGTCCTGTATGCTTCACGAAGATTTTGTGTAAACATAGGAATGATGGGCTAAATTTAGGGGAAGAAATGAAAAGAAAGAGTAATAAATATTTATTATTTCCACTCAGTTCCTAGCCAATTTTTGTGATTTTGAACTTCAGCAATCTGTAGCTTCAAGCTTTGACTTGCAGAGTCAAGATGGGGGACCACCACCAACAAGGCCTTGTCTCTCATCCCCACTAATCGTGCTTGTGAGGGTCATGGGATCGAGAGCAGGGGCTCATCCAACGATCGTAAATTCTAAGGTGGGTCATAGAGAGAGATACGTTCGGATAAGTAAACTGGGCTGGAACTGTTTAGGGCTTTATAGGTCAAGACCAGCACTTTGAATTGTGCTTGGAAATGGACTGGCAGCCAGCGGAGCTGACGAAGCAGGGGAGTGGTATGCTCCCTGTAAGTTGCTCCAATGAGTAATCTGGCTGCCAACAGTTGGACTAGTTGGAGTTTCAGAACAGTCTTTAAAGGCAACCCAACATAGAGTGCGTTGCAATAATCTGTTTGAGCCATATACACTTGACAAGTGCTGAAGAAACTTGAAACATTCAGTTGATGTTATGCAAAAGACAGACTGGGTTTCAGAGTATCTGTATACTTTACTCTATGCCAGGGGTCCTCAAACTATGGCCCGAGGGCCGGATACGGCCCTCCAAGGTCATTTACCCAGCCCTCGCTCAGGGTCAACTTAAGTATGAAACGACTTAAAAGCACACAACAACAACAACAACAACAACAACAACAACAACAATCCTATCTCATCAGCCAAATGCAGGCGCACACTTCCCATTGAAATACTAATAAGTTTATATTTGTTAAAATGGTTCTTCATTTTAATTATTGTATTATTTTTAAGTGTTTTTTGAACTACAAATAAGATATGTGCAGTGTGCATAGGAATTCATTCATGGTTTTTTTTCCAAATTATAATCCGGCCCTCCAACAGTTTGAGGGACTGTGACCTGGCCCTCTGTTTAAAGAGTTTGAGGACCCCTGCTCTATGCAATTGCCCAATGCATTTCATCCAATAAATATTGCATGCTGTCATGCCTTTTTTATTTTAAGAAAGCTTATGGAAGTGCATATAAATAATTTTTGGGCAAAATTATATTTGGCTAATTTCTAGAATAATTCGCTGTCTCTTTTACATGCAGCCTTATAAACTTAAACAGATTTCCACTCATGTCAAACACACTAGGAGCCCCCGGTGGTGCAGTGGGTTAAACCCCTGTGCCGGCAGGACTGAAGACCGACAGGTCGCAGGTTTGAATCTGGGGAGAGGCGGATGAGCTCCCTCTATCAGTTCTAGCTCCTCATGCGGGGATATGAGAGAAGCCTCCACAAGGATGAAAAACATCAAAACATCCGGGCGTCCCCTGGGCAACATCCTTGCAGACGGCCAATTCTCTCATACCAGAAGCAACTTGCAGTTTCTCAAGTCGCTCCTGACATGATAAAAAAAAGTCAAACACTAATATTTTTGTATTGGAATATTGTTGCAACACCTCCATCACAGAAGCAGATCTGACTTTCAAACTGTGTGATCCATTTGCCATAGTTTAAGCTTTGACTCTTTCTTGTCTCACCTGACACTCACCATCCACTTTTTCTATTGGCTATGTCAAGTGGCACACTCTCTGGGTTCCTGTAGGCATCCTCTAGCTACACTCAGCCTTTATTTTCCTAACCTTAACCAGGGAACTACCTCTTGCAATCTTGTATATTACATATAAGTCCACCTCTACGAACTGTTTTAAACAATTCAAATATTACTTGCTAAACAATCTCTCACTGGAATGGAACAAGATATTTTTATTTTCTAAATGTGTTTAGGTTCCTATTCCAAATCATCAGTCTCATTTTGCATCAAGAACATTAGTTAAAGATATCATTGCATATAATCAAGATTCCAGGACTGGGCATTTGACAGTTCTAGGGTCAATTTTCTGCAATAAATCAGACATTGACTAAAAGCCTATTCCTGATTTGGAATTGTTTTTAATGTTAACAGTGGAGCCCCATCCCAACTGTTTATTGAAAAAAGTGAAATACCACTCCCAAGATCCTTTAACACAACCCAATTAGGTTGTCATTCCATTGGGGGAGGGGGGCAGCATGATATATCTATGGTGTTATGTCCTGTTGCATTAGAAAGAAAATTTTATTGTTTCTCAGATTTATCACATGTTGTTCTTTCTTGCCTTTTCTCCCAAAATCATCCATTTTTTTAGATTTTTCACCCAAGAAAGTGCAGTTCCTGCCCATTCAATTAAAAAAACGAGGAAGATGCTAGCCAATGGTTCTCAATCTGGGGTCCCCAGATGTTGTTGGCCTACAACTCTCAGAAATCCTAGTCAGTTCACCAGCTGTTAGGATTTCTGGGAGTTGAAGGCCAAAAACACCTGGGGACCCCAGGTTGAGAACCACGGTGCTAGACTTTCCCTTCCAATCCTGCTTCTTGTGAGTACACAGGAGGCATTGATTTGGGAAGATAGGCACCATTTTGGGGATTTAGACTGCCACTTCCAATCCTGCTACTCCCAAGGAGGCAGGAGGCATTGATCTGCACCCTTTCTTTCTTTCCAGCCTTATGAATCAATCTAGCCATCGTGCAATTTTAAAAGGCAAAATTACTATGAAGGAGAAATGCCAGAAAAACAAAGTGGTGATATTTTGAAATAAATTAATTAATTTGAAAATTATCATGTCAGGCTGATGAAGTAAGATTTTGTGAGAGAAATGTCAGTGTTTGGTAGGAAACTGCCCATAGAAATACCCCTAACTTCACTTCATCCATTTGATTAAATGTGTGGAGTCTGACAGATTCCATCCAATGTGGGTTTTTTTTGCCATTTTCCCCCAGTTGTATAGTGATTCCTAAGCTCAGAAGATGATCTCTGCCCATTTTATTTCCCCCTTGTTTCCAGACACCTTAGAAACAATTTATTAATGAGACATGACGGATGCAGAGAGGAAGTCCCCTTGTGTTGTGTGATGGGCTCTGTTATACATCATTAAATTACTATATTACAAGTGTTTTTAAATGTGGGGAGGGTGCGTGGGATAATGTACTAGAGCATTATCATTTCCCTTTATTGCTCTGTAATTCTGGGATGTCCAGATCTTTGACAGAGAGCTCTAGGATTCTATCAGATGACAAAACCAGGGGTCCCATAGGATGCAGCTGTGATGGGTAATCCTGACTAAAGTGCCTCCTGGGTCTTCCAGAAGAGGCAATTCATGATGTGTCTTTAATTAGAAAAAGGACAGCTCAAGGCAATTTAAGGGGAGAAGAGCCACAAGAACAAACACACTTTGTTCACTCCAGTCTATTTATTGTGGGCAATATACATATTGAAAGCAGATCACTTACCACTTTGGCATCTAAAGCAACCTGAGCAAAACCTGTGCCAGAACCCCATACAAGATTGTAGTATTCATCACTGAAGTTTCCTTCTCTAAGTCCACCAGGCGCAATTCCTAGAAGATGGCCTTTCTTCAGAATTTCCACACAATTAACTTTTGTGCCAACTATACAACCCACCACATCAAGAACCAGTTTTACTCCTGTAAACACAGGTGAAGGAAAAAATTGAAACATAAATATTTATATCTGTTCCCAAATAATGCTTTAAATGATAATACAGATATTAAAGCATGGTCATTTATTATATCTTACCTGGTAGAAACATGTCACGGTGAGCCACAGAATAGAGGGATCTTCCTTTCTGTGCATACAGTCTAGCTACTAATAAGATATAGTCTAGAACAAAGGCTCCATGGTAAAAGACAATAATTCCTGGACCTTTTGGTAGATTTTCCATGCCAATAACCTCATAACCTGAAATGATGACAATGTATAACAGGTTAATATTAATATCATATCAATAACAAAACCTGACTTTTTAAATGAGTGATAACATTCTTGCATATTATTCCCAAAGAAAAAGTATCAAAAATATTTTCTTTGACCTCTATCCTGAAATCAACTTGTCTATAGTTGGACAAATATAAGTCACAGGAGTCCTATATTTGTCCATTGAGATTCTTACATATGTTTCTGTTGGAGAAGCTGAGACAAATGGTAACCTATAGAAAAGTTTTTAATTAAGTACTCATCTGTAGAAACACTCTTGAAGAAAATTATCTAAATTCTCACATGCATTATTGTTGTATCCACCTCATCACATGAGGGGTTTTTGGCCCCTTGCCATGCTGAGGCTCTTCTTCGGGGATAGATCCAGTGAACTCCATCACATGACAAAGGCCATGGCCCCACCCCATTGATAGCTGATGTGTCACGGAAGCATTGCAAGTAGCTTCCTTGCTAACCACAGTAAGATTTTGTGTTTTGGGTAGCTCTGATGCATCTAGGGGAAGCGGGGAGGGTGTGTGGCTTCCCATGAGGTGCCACACGCATGTTCCATTTTGCCGGTAATTGCTAGTAAAATAGATAAGGGCAAGGGGGGGGGGATAAAATGATGAGGTCGATAGGGCTACATAAGATCTTCTTCCTTTTTATGCTGATAATAATGATACCAGAGGTTGTTCTAGAGCTCCATTCCTAGTGAACAATGGGTATTCTTGTCCTTTTACTTCATTCAAGGTGTTAAATCTATGTCTTGTGATTAAACTTATATAAAACAAACACTGAAGCTATTTTTACTTCTCCAGACACTTTCTTACCATGCCATATCTTTCCAAATGTTTCCACAAAATGTCCAATCCATTGCCTTGGTTTTTCCCATAACGGATCATAAATGCTTCCGCTTATGTTATGTTTTTTCTTGTAAATATATAGAACAAATGAGGTAAAACAATTTAACAAAAAAATGAAACAGTATGCATGATATAACAACATGGGAAGCAGTAATATCCAGAAAGGGTTAATGGAGCTCGCATATTCTCCCAGATCTTCAAAACCAGTCCAGTTTTTCAGCATGTGAATAAACAAAGTTGAATTTTGAAGCCAAGAAGTATCTGATATGGATGCTGCCATTTTCACATGCTAGGTAGAAAAATAAAATGAATTCTGATTAGACATGTGAAAAATGATGTGCTTCATTGCATTTTCTTGAAAAAAATAGAGGACAAAAGATATTACAGCACTAAATCAATATCTCATGATGTTCCAGTAGCAATTTACCAGAATTCATAGAATCATGCAGCTGGAAGATACCCTAAGGCCCATTCTGTCCAACCCCCCTGCCATGCAGGAAAGGCACAATCAAGATTGACCATAGCCAAAGACTGGAAAGGGGAAAAAGGTTTAACCAATAAGGATTGGAGGGAAAGAATGTGAGAATATATGTTAATGGCCAGACTAACTTATAACAGGAGGAATAAAAGCAATGAGGACTTTTTAGAAAAATGGAAGTTGGCCATGGCATATCTGAATAGAGAGTCAGTAATATAGAGGAACTCCATTAGGAATGTAGGGTTACCATGAACAAGGAGAGATAAATAGGCTTAAAGGTTTCATAGTGTTTCAGTGTTGGAAGTCATGGTGAAGGGTGCACAGGTGTGGGGAAGAGGTTTTATTTTGTGTGGGATAGGGGTTTTGGGATGAGTGTATGGTCCATTGTGTGTAATATGCTATGTGCTAATTTTCTGAATGTTATGGAAAAAAATGAATAGAAAGCTTTGACTGAAAGTAGTGGAAAACAGGCAGAAATAGCAAGTAAATGTGTATTAAGTTATGTAAATGATAATAATTTGTACTCATTGTCAAAATTAACTGGTTGATTAACTAAGGTAGATAGGCATGTACACATCAAAAATACTGTTATCTGAATAAATCTGCCACTGTTTGCTTTTCTGTTATGTACCATAACCAAAATAAACATGGTAAATATACCATGCCATAAAAAAATAAAGTTAAAATTTGAAATTAAAAAAAAAAGAAAAAAGAAAAGCACAATCAAAACATCCCTGACAGATGGCCATCCAGCCTTTGTTTAAAAGCCTCCAAAGAAGGGGCTTTCTCCACACTCTGAGCGGAGAGTTCCACTCGTTCAGTCAGGAAGTTCTTCCTAATGTTCTGGTGGAAGTTCCTTTCCCATAATTTAAACCCATGGCTCTGAGTCCTAGCCTCCGGGGCAGCAGAAAACAAGCCTGCTCCCTTCTCTTTGCACCATTAGTGCCATAGTATCTGTGATGCCTTAGCAGTGTGATGTTGAGTTTCTGATTGGGTGGCATAACTCCTTCTTTATCTTTTATTTCTCAAATATACTTTGCCACTGAAAACTATAAGGTTAATTTTTTTTAAAAAAAAAATTAACTGTTTAGCAAGAGGACAATATAAAATGCTACCACAGAAGCACCAGGACCTTATCGCACCAGGTAAGTCCCAGGGCCCTTCCACACAGCCCTATATCCCATAATATCAAGACAGAAAATCCCACATTATCTGAGTCTGGACCAGATCAAAGCAGATATTGTGGGATTTTCTGCCTTGATATTCTGGGATATAGGGCTGTGTGGAAGGGCCCCAGGCATATGTCATGATTACGGGCTATTGATGGACTGTGCCTATCAATAGCTGGGAACAGTTTCATCTCCGAGAGACGGGAGACTGAGAATCAGTATTACACAATGTCACACAGTAAGTGCTGTTTTCCACTTCTGTGCAATAATGTTTAAAGTTTGTCACCTGAATGGTTGCTCCATAGGTTGCATTTATGTTCGCAGAACATTTCCTCCTATTTTTAATTCCCTGGCCATTTTAAATTTCAAGTAGTGATACAAATGGAAAGCCCAGTTGTTCCCAAACTAATCACGCTGTTAAGCTAATTTTGCTGATAGATAGAATGAATGGGAAAAAAGTTGAGAGGTAAGTATGGACTTCTAAGATCCAAGCTACTGTTGTGACTAAGAAAGAGATCTTTCAGTAGTGAAGGACATCAACATGAAAATATTGCTCTTGTATTCCTATGGTTGGGAAAAGAGTGCCACCTTGAGGATCATTAGGAAAGGAACCAAAAGGAAAATAACAGCATATCTAATATATATAAATAGTGCAAACACTTTTGGAATATGGCATATATATCCAGTGATTCCATCTTAAAATGGACATTCTAGAGCTTGGAAAGCAGAAGCAAAATGATCAATGGACCAGAACAATTTTCTGTAAAGAAGAGAATCATTGTTTTAGGGCTATTTGGTTAGAAAGAAGTGAAGCAGGATGACTGGATAGAGCTGCCTTGAATCTCACTTTGAGATAACGGCACTATAAACATTCAAAGAAATAAAGGAGAAATTACTTAGAGAAACAGAAATGTAAACTCTTCCCCCCGTTTCTGTGAATAATAACAACCAATAGTCACAGTTGTTTAAATCAAATGATTATCTACTTGCAGTAATCTAAATCCAGGTAAGCCAAGTTCCAAGAGAATTAAGCACAAAGGGAAAATTTCTTTATATATTCAATCATTAAACAACAGAAATTGTTGCAGTATGTGGTGATCACTGCATCATTCCACAGATCCAGGCCCGTAGCCAGGATTTTGATTCCGGGGGGGGGGGGGGCTGAGTCTGAGTGAAAGAGGGTCTACCCTAGCAAACCTTTTGCATCATTACCCCAATACCCCCATGCATATGGGATATATTGAGCATGGTGATCAGATCATGATATGAATAAACATAACAGTTTAAATAATGTACCAGTAAGGCCTTTTTGCGGACCACAATGAGAATTTGGGGGGGAGGGGCTGAAGCCCCTCAAGCCCCCCCCCCCCCCCCCCCCCCCCCACCCCGGCTACATGCCTGCACAGATTATGTATACTATTCCGCAGTTTAGAGAAGACAATCTGGAAATCAGGATATTAATTTTTATATAAACTGCTATATACATACAGAAACACACATATGTATGTATGTGTGTTGTCTGTTTATAGAGCCATGCATGATTATGATTTAAACTTGTCCATTGTTAATTTTCAAAATGCTAATATCCTTGAATTTCCATAACAATTACATGAAAAGAATGGTGTTTTTTTTAAAGTATCCTTTACTTTATATACACTTAGCAGCAAGCAAATCAAACTACTTCACACTCACTGTTCTTGGAAATCCTGTGCTTCAGTTGACTCGTCACCTCTTCTGAAGTTGTTTGCAATTGTTTTCAGCTTTCTCCCTTGCCACTCCCACAGTAAAAGGGGTGGTTCTGTTATGTCAGCAATGCCTGTTTAAATTGCTACATATATTTAAATTTTGAGCCAAATAATAAATTCTTTAATTTTGAAACTGTATCAATTTGAAAATCTGCAATTATACCGAAATAACTAAACACAAACAACCAAATAAAATTCATTTGTCCAATTGAAGAGGACAGAAAGAAAATGCTGCACTGAGAATGATAAAATTATGATCTGTGCAAGTGTCACAGAGGATAGCAGCTGCATCTGTCCTTTTTCAGATGTAAGAAGGGTTAAACAATACTATGCAACAACAGATGACAACAGGCCTCGTAAAGGGGCCCATTGTAAGCCGTCGTGATACTCACTTCGGGGGTTGAGAAGGACGGGATAGAAATATGAGAAATAAATAAATAAAGATAAATAACCAGAAGGGCACAGCTTCATTTCTGCATTCAGTGATCAGTTGTGGGAATGGCTCTGGGTTTGTTAAATTGGCAATAAAGGCCCCTTTGTGCTCAAGAAAATTAAGAATGAGCCTGAGCATGCCTCCATAGCTCTTCAATGGTTGGGAAGACAGGACTGAAATTGGTAGTCCCCTTTCTAATTTTTGCAGTACATTGGGGGGGGGGGGGAAGGACTGTACCTTGGTGTGCACCTTAATTCATTGTCAACAAATATATTGTCACATTTCATGTTATCAAAGTACTTCTGCATCCATACTAATTGCAAGGCATCCCAAACATAATTTGAGAAATATTTATTGCAGAGAAATGACTCACTACTTTGGCAACTTGGGCAAAATCTTTATAGTTACCACAGATCAGTTCATAGTTCCTGGTAGACTATGCAAAATATTGTCAGTCATGCAATGACAAAGTCTTCCTGTTTTTAAATTTAAGTTAAGTGCAAAAAAAGATAATTAACACCAAAAGCTCCATGATAAAAAAAAATATTCTCAAGTCCTCTGAAATATGTTCCATGCCAATAATCTCATCACCTGACAAAAATACAACAGGTACGTTCTAAAATATAAAGTGAACAAAACAGAAAAAGAATCATTATTAGACAGACAAAGAATAAAAATATATTTTAAATCACATCATTTTAGAATACTACACTGTAATAATCCAGTAGAGACAGGGATGTATTTATTTATTTATTTGCTGCATTTATAACCGATCTTGACAGGATTGCCTCATGTACAGAGGAAAAATTGTTTTGAGGCTACAGACAATGTTTTGAGGCTACAGACAATGATAGTGAGCTGCACTTGGGAAACAGATTTGTCCCACCAAACCTTTGGGTTGAACAAAATTTTATGGGCTCATAAATCATAAATGTTTCCTGGAACATCTCAGATACGACACATTTGAATCTGGGGCTTTAGTTCAGATAGCCTGGTAGCACATCTGCTTCACTGGGACAGTGCGCAACTCATCTCTTTTATGTCATTGCCACTCCAACCCAACTACAGAGTTACTCTGAACCCCTGTTTGTCATGCCTCTCCTGACATCAGAACAAGGTGCCTGTGAAACCAGCTAGAAGGAGGGGGTGATTTTTTTGCTGGCTGGGAAAGTGCCTTGTTTGATGTCAACAAAGTTATTCACGATGGCCAGTAGCTCAGATAGAGCTCATTTTACTGCTAGGATGATCCAGTCCCCCCCCCCCTTTTTTTTGCTTTTGGGAAGGTGTTGGTATAGGTATACAGTCTGGACTGCAGATCAGGCTCTCCAGATTTTGCCTCAACATTGTTCAAAGTTGGGCAAAGTTCATTTAAAGGGAGAAAAACCTGCAATACTCATCGGAAGCTGTTGTGTATATGGAAAGAATTTGCTTCAATTCAGGGTGAGTCCAGGGTGTTTTCCAAGTAGAGACAAGGCCTATAATAATATCTACTTTACTGCTTTTATTTCATTAAGTTCTGTGGTATTTCAATTCTGTTTATCTCATACAATTTAATATTTTACAGATGAAAATGTGTGATCAAACAACATCAGAGTGTTAACAAAATGACAAATGTGATTAATGCTTTTTTATTTTTATTTATTTATTATTCGAACTTATATGCTGCTACTCCCCTGGGGCTCAGAGCGGCTTACAAGAATGGCTGAAATCTAACGCAATTTAAAAACAATTTAAATCAATTTAAAAACAGCAATATCAAAAGTCAAAGGCCTGTCGAAACAGGTATTTATTTATTTATTTATTTATTTACTATGCTTATATACCGCTGTATCTCAAGCCCGAGGGCGACTCACAGCGGTTTACAAACAGCAAAGACAATAAAAACAGCAATAGTTCAATAGACAATGACAATTAATTTACACATTTCCATTAATAACTAATAAGCAGTCCCAATACACAATTATTACAAACCCCATCCCCGATCGCCTCATCATCCATGCATGATCCAAATTCGTCGTCCATTGTTCCGTTCCTATGTTCAATTACCAGATTGCACTGAATTACTCAAACGCCTGCACAAACATCCAGGTCTTCAACTTTCTACGGAATGTCATGAGAGATGGTGCCAGCCTAACATCTACAGGAAGGGCGTTCCACAGCCGAGGAGCCACCACCGAGAAGGCCCTATCTCTCGTCCCCGCCAACCGTGCTTGTGAAGCAGGTGGGATCGAGAGCAGGGCCTCCCCGGAAGATCTCAAAGTCCTGGTGGGTTCATAGGTCGAGATGCGGTCGGAAAGGTATCTTGGGCCGGAACTTTAGGGCTTTATAGGCCAGTACCAACACCTTGAATTGGGCCCGGTAGCAAATCGGCAGCCAGTGGAGCTGGTGCAACAGGGGGGTTGTGTGCTCCCTGCGCTCCGCTCCTGTTAGAATCATGGCTGCCGCGCGTTGGACTAGTTGCAGCTTCCGGGCCGTCTTCAGGGGCAGCCCCACGTAGAGAGCGTTGCAGTAGTCTAGGCGGGATGTGACAAGAGCGTGGACTACCGTGGCCAAGTCAGACTTCCCAAGGTACGGGCGCAGCTGGCGCACGAGCCTGAGCTGTGCAAATGCTCCCCTGGTCACCACTGAAACCTGGGGCTCCAGGCTCAGCGATGAATCCAGGATCACACCCAAGCTGCGAACCTGTGTCTTCAGAGGGAGTGCGACCCCATCCAACACAGGCTGTAACCCTATGCCCTGTTCGGCCTTACGACTGACCAGGAGTACCTCTGTCTGTATGTCTTACATGCCCTGCGGAAAGCTGATAAGTCATGCAAGGCACGGACTTCAGGTGGCAGAGTATTCCAGAGCGATGGTGCCACTGCTGTAAAGGCTCTGCACCCAGTTGCTGTTAGGCGCAAGGTCTTGACACTGGGAATTTCCAATAGATCTTGGTCCTCAGAACGGAGGGATCTCTGGGGTTGGTAGGGGGTGAGGCATTCCCTTTTTTTATATATAAAGCTGTTGTCCTCCCAAACCTGTTATATGCCTACTAAATGTGGACTGTCTACACATGTCACACTGAACTTCTGGAACTATTCCTTCAGCGTTGCCTCTAAAAAAATCCCACAAATCACTTGGGAAGACAAATGTCAGTGTTTTGTAAGAAGCAAAGACCACCAGCATTGAAATGATGATCCTCCGCCATTAACTTTGCTGGACTACTCACGTTGTCTGAATGCCTGATCACCATTTCCCAAAGCAGTTACTATACTCTCAACTCAAAAATGGAAAATGGAATATTGGTGGATAGGAAAAGAGATTTAAAGATGGGTTTAAAGCTAACCTTAAAAACCATGGCATAAACACTGAGAACTGGGAAGCCCTGGCCATTGAGGTCAGTTATTATCAACAGTGCTGTGGAATTCGAAGAGGCACAAATGGAGGGTGAAAGGGAGAAATATGTCAACAGGAAGGTGCATCAAGCCAACCCTGACTGGGACTGTCTTCCATCTTGAAATCAATGCAAAGTAACACACGGCCCTGCTTTAAAAAAATCCAACAGAAATCTTATAAATAATTTAAGACACTGATGTTCTTCCTCTTCACAATGAGGACTGTTCATAAAGTCTCGCACCATACTAATGGCAAACTTACAGTCCCCATTATCAAGAGAAGGAACATCAGTGTATTACATTTCTGGGATTTTTTAGCAGGACCAAATAGCATCGTTTTCTTCCTTAAACCCCATCTCTCCAAAATATATAATTTGAAAAATGAAACCAAATGTGTTCTAGTAAAATAAGTGAAGAAGTTATAAACAACAACAAACTTTCAGTGAAGATTAGAAGTATTTTGCATACAGCACTGATATGTTTTGTAGGCCTGTTTTTATTCAATTTTAATTCTTGAGATAGTACCATACGAGGCATATTAAGTTCAATTATATCATAATGAGAGCAACATGTCTCTGAAAAGCCAGTCATTTGTGGCCACAATTTCATTGTCATTATACAGGTATTGTTTGCAATTAAAATGACATTGGACAATTTGCAAGCATCAAAATATTTAATGACTTGTTCTTCATCTTAATACAGAAAGTGATTGGCAAAAGGATATATAGTTTTCCTATGATTCCACATGAATTGTGGTTAAAATTCTTATTCTTGTATATCATTCCAATACTCTCCCAGCAACACTGTGATTCTTGAGGCTCAGTCCTAAGATTCTAGTAGGATACCAAATTATTACGGTATGTATAATTTTCCCAGTTTAGTGCCCTCAAATATGCAAATATGTGCCTTAGATTATTCTACAAATTGCTTAGCATGTCTTCTTATACACACAGAAAGATAAAGTGCAGTCAAGCAGTATGCAAAGGACAAAAATACAGTTAATATGAATAGATACATGGAAAACATAACCACAAACCATATATTTTAGATATTCTTCCAGATAAGTAAAACTAATCCAGTTTTTCAGTATTTAAATAAACCAAGTCACAGTTTCTTGTCCTGAGGATGTGGTTGAAGATATTATTTCCTGTATAACAATAAAACAAATCAAGTGAAATTTTCCTATTCAACATTCATCTGGAAAACTTTCACATT